CTGGAACAGGTTGCCCAGAGAAGCTGTGGCTGCTCCTCCCTGGAAGTGTTGAAGGCCAGGCTGGATGAGGCTTTGACCAACCTGGTCTAGTGGAAGGTGTCCATGCAAGGATTCCCCAGCAGCAACTTTTGCCCCTGGATCAGAACGGCTACAGCACAGACTTGTACAGACAAGGGCTGACACCTCCCCAGCTGCCTGGAGACCATCTGCACCCCTACGGTAGGAGAGTGACGTGGAGATTGTTCTATTAACCAAGGAACAAGTGACAGGACAAGGGGAAATGGCCTCAAGTTGCACCAAGGGCAGTTGAGATGGGATGTGAGGAAGAATTTCTTACCTGACAGGGTTCTCAGGCATTGGAAGGGAATAATTTGTACCTGCCAGGGACTGAACGAGCCGCAGGATTGAATAATGTGGATTATCACCATAAATAAACCACGTGTAATATTGAGAAATGATCACTGCACATAAAAACATTGCGACACACACACGTGATGTGTGAGGGATGGGTGATTTCTGCAGCCCAGCCTCCCCCAGATTTCTGCTGCCACACATTGCACAGTGTACATGCAGGTTTGATGGAGGTGCTGGACTCATTATCTGGGGATTTTGCCCAATGAATTTACCATTCCTCCAAGTTTTAATGTGAATCCCATCTCACCCTCAGCCTCACCTCGCCGTGCTTTGCCAGGTTGTCACAGTTTGTCACTTCCCTGTGGATCCCTGTGGGATTTCAGGGCTCAGCCACGTTCCTCTGCGTCTTGAGAAACCATTCGTTCGATCTCAGGGAGCTTTGGGTCAAGTGCTTCAGTGAAATGATTTCTCCTCCACCTCCAGGTCTTGACAATCAAGAGAGGACACCTGAAAATAAGAAGAGGTACAGTGAGATATTCCGCAGCCTGGATGCCATCGAAATCTCAATCGGAAACGCGTATGTAGAAAAGAAACGAGGCTGAACTGATTTTCTGGGTCTTTCCAACCTCAATTTCTTTAATTGTTTGGGTTGTTGGGGTTTTTTTTTCATTACACAGGACAGTTGATATGTTCATTGGTGATGCTGACAGCACTGAGGACACAGACCTGGCTGCAGAGAGAGAAATCATTCCGGTAGGCAAAGAATGAGCTCCATTTAATTAAAGAAATTATCAATTATCTGTTGTCAAAATGCACAATTTTATGTTATTAAAGTTGTTTTCTGGGTGATCATCTGGAAAAAAAAATAGTTGAATTTATTTATTTATTTATTATTGAATTTATTATCAACTCTTAGTTGAATAAATCATAGAATGGTTTGGGTTGGAAGGGACCTTAAAGAACTGTCTAACACTTGGTTATAACAGTGATGGAGGTAACAACAGAGCAGATATTTAGTGAAAACATTCAGGAATTTATTATTTGGATGTATATTTTTCCTGTAAAAGGAGAAATGTGGAAATTGCTGGTTTAAGTTCTACGTGCTAAGAAAAAAAAAATAATTAAAAAATCAGCCAAGACAGCAAACCCAAAATATATTTGAGTCAAAATATATTTAATATATTAAATCTCTCTAATTTTGGTCTTAAGAAACAGATGTTCTTCAAAATAGAACTTAATGGGTTTTTTTTCTCACTTGTTTTGGGCAGGATGGGACTTTTTGGGGATAATCAGCCTCATTTCATGCTTTTTTGTTTAAACAAAGGGCCGAAGAACTTAATTTTTCTCTGATAACGACTGTTTGAATGGGATGATATTATCCCATGAGCTAAACTTAAGAATAAAAATCAAATATTTGGTGATTTGTAGTAAAAAGCTGACAGAATTCTGTCTTGCAGCCTTGACGAGGCGTTCCTTCTGTGTTTGTGTTTGTGGTAGATTTTTATACCACGCTGCTTTCCCTCTGCCAAATCTCAGGCTCCTATTTTAACTTTACTATTTTAATTTCCTTGCTTAGCTAAGGAAATTCAGCACTTCAAGTGGCCTTTTGGAAAAATCCTCTAAATTCCTAAATACTCACTTTTTTCCCCCCTCCAAATTCCTGAATATTCACTTTTTCCTCCACCATTTCCCTCTTTTTTTTTTTTCCTCCACAGTTGAGTGAAAGTTTCTCCAAGAGCAAAACCAGTTCAGAGACACGAGTGCAGGCAGATATAACAGGTAATATTGCTTTTAAAAGTAAATAAATAAAAATGAAATAAATTAAAATGAAATAAATGACATAAACTAAAATGAAATAAATAAATAAATAAAATGAAATAAATAAATAAATGAAATGAAATAAATAAATAAAATGAAATAAATAAAATTAAAAATCCAAGAGGTGACATGAGAATACTTAGTTAATTATCTGGCAATAATCCTGGCAGCCTCCTAATGACACAGATGAAAAATACCTGCTTGAGCTCAGTTGTCTCACCGCCTCCTTCCTCACGTAGGTCTTCCTCTGTTTATCCACTAATATTTTATTTGGGAGCCTCTCATGAAGTCTTGACTTGGAAATATTGAGACATCAATGCTCAAAGATCTGCTGGTTTAAAACACAGTTAAAGATCAAAGCAGCAAAACCTGGGTGGGAAACTCTGAAACACTTGGTCACCCCAACAGGAGGGTTCTCATCAGTTCTGTGCTTTTTGTTGGCATCATAAAATGCAACATTAAATTGGTTCTTTCTTCATATAAAGATGAAAAAATTATATTCTAAGCTGCTTTCTCACAGATTTCAGCTTGAAATGTGTTTAGATTTGCTCACTGCAGCATGATGAGCTTGTATGAGGTTCCACCAAGGAACAAGAATCCTTCCTGCAATTCCCCATTAGATCCTTCACTTTTAGATTTCAAAACAAATTAAATTAAAATCTTGAATATATACCAGTATAAATAGGAATATACCAGTATAATTTACCTGGAACTTGTGTGGTTCTGTGGGTAGGACAGCACGGGGTCACCATGAAGTAGATCATAATGATATTGCTCAGTGAAAAACCTTTTTTATGGCTTTTACCTGAGGATTTCACAGCACTTGATACTCCAATTTTATCACTCTTGGGGGAGCCTCAGCCCTTTGAAACCTGGATTTATTCTGTTGCAGTTCAGGAAGCGGATGAAATGCTGATAAAATGCGAAGGTGGCATCGATGCAGCCCTGGAATATGCCAAAATGTGGTGTAAATATGTCAAAGAACTTCTCAGCTGGATTGAAAAACGTCTGAGCTACGGTGAGTCTGTGCACAGAACTGGGAGTCTGCACACTTCTCAATATTTGGGTTTTTAAAGAAAAAAATCATGGGCAAGAACACACAGTTGTGAGCAAAATTCTACCAGTGAGAAATCAGCCAAACTCCAGCTCGCTTAGTTGGTTTTGGCTGAAGGTAAAGACACAGAGACAGGATTTCTTCTTCCCTGAATGATCCTAATTGACTGGAATAACTTCTACCTTTGAGCAACTCACCTCTGCCACCGTGAAATCTGGTGTTTAACCCACTCTGCTCTTTTCCAGAGACAGAATTTGCCAAAGGGATGGTGAAAATCGCCGAATCGGGACGAAACGCCATCTTCCAACAGGTATTTGTCCTTGTGATGTTCCTGCTCCACAGCTCGGGGTTCCCTTGGGAAGACACGAGTCCTGCATGGAGAAAACATCAGGTTATGAACTGTAGAGTCCAACTTCAACCCGACAGCAAATAAACCTTCAAAAACCTCCCCAAAATTCACAATATTGGACCCATTTCTTTTTGTTATTGGATTTTGGGGGGGGTTTTTTGTTTCTTTTGGTTTGTAGTGGTTTTTTGTTTGTGTCCCCCTCCTCCCTTCCCTAAGGGCTTATAATATGGAGAAATTATTTGGAAAATTAAATAGAAGGATGAACTGGGAAGGAGTTTCTGCCCAGCATAAAGTTCATCTGCTTCCAGCATCCTGCTGTGCTGTCTGAAATAACCCCCCCTCATTTAACCAGCATAGACATTCCCACCTTTCTATAAGAGATTTTGGCCATAGCTACTCAAAACCTCTTTAATTTAGGAATTAAACTAAATCACAGTGATTATCCATCATTTTATATTTGGTTTTCTTTTTTTTTGGGGGGGGGTGTCTGCAGTACAACATGCCGCTCCGGGCGCTCTATACAATGGTCCTGGAACATGATATAAAGGTTGGAAATTCAGCTAGTGAGACTGTGGGATTACTCCAGCAAAAGGAATTCTACCAGGTACTATATTTCTGCGTGGATTAAGCAACTTTACATCACAGAGACCTAAAGAAGTGATTTATCATGGTCTGGGGGGGTAAAGGGGGTGAAAAAAAAGGAAATTGTGCATCAATTTTAAGGGAAAAAAAAGCATCTTTCAAGGCTTGTTTTCTAATGCCATGCCCTCATCTGTCTGTTAGATAATTTCTCCTGCCTCAGGAGGAACTGTTGCTGTCCTAACTCTGATTTCTCTGTAGCCTCTGTCAGCCAAGAAGAATGAAATTGAGAAATGGAGGAAAGAATTAAAAGATCAGTGGACAAAGGAACAAAAGAGAATGGTAAGAGGGTGAGAGATGGGCCTGACCTTTATGCCAGTCACTGAAAAACAGGATTATGAAGAAGCAGTAATTAGATAACATGATATGGATCCTGCTATTGAATAAAAATACTTTTTAAAAGAGTACAAGCACTTCACCATCAGCCTTTTTCTCCAGGGAATCCTGCTGGGGAGGAAAATGCTCCTGGGCACCTCGAAGAATGTGAGACAGGGCAACTCGATGTGTTTAGGGAGATGGTTTAGTGGTGGACTTGGCAGTGTTGGGTTTACGGTTGGATTTGATGATCTTAAAGGTCTTTTCCAACCAAAACAATCCTGTGATTCTGTTTTCAGTTGGACTTGATCATCTTAAAGGTCTTTTCCAACCAAAACGATCCTGTGATTCTGTTTTCAGTTGGATTTGATGATCTTAAAGGTCTTTTCCAACCAAAACGATTGAATAAAAATACTTTTTAAAAGAGTACAAGCACTTCACCATCAGCCTTTTTCTCCAGGGAATCCTGCTGGGGAGGAAAATGCTCCTGGGCACCTCGAAGAATGTGAGACAGGGCAACTCGATGTGTTTAGGGAGATGGTTTAGTGGTGGACTTGGCAGTGTTGGGTTTACGGTTGGATTTGATGATCTTAAAGGTCTTTTCCAACCAAAACAATCCTGTGATTCTGTTTTCAGTTGGATTTGATGATCTTAAAGGTCTTTTCCAACCAAAACGATCCTGAGATTCTACAGCTGAGTCTACAGAGAAAATTGGAGAGAAAAAAAAGATAACCCAATTTTTTCCTCAAGTCTTTACTCAGCTGTAGAGGAAACCCAGGGGCTCCTTGAGAGCCTCTGAACTTTGGGAGGAGAGGGACAAATATTACTGGTGTCCATTTGAATAACAACATCCACTTGAACCAAGAGAGAAGCCTTTTCCTTAGAAGCAGAGCACTGCTGTGACTTATTCCTCTCCTCACTGGGCTTCCTAAAGTTGTCCCTTTGCTTATTCAAGAATGAATCCTTGTCATCCCTACGCAAGTCCCGCCTGCAATACCTACAGCGTTGCGAGGAGCTGGAGAAAGCAAAGCATTTGAGTGCCAAGGCAGAGGATGAATATCAGAGCACAGCCATCACCAACCCCGGCAGCGCCAACAAGCAGCTGGAGAAGCGGCGGCGTTCGTGCGAGGAGGCACAAGCCAAGGTAGAGGAGCTGAGATAAAGCTGTTGGTATTTCCAGCCATCCCATAATGGGATTTTCCCACCTGTCCTGGTGATTTTTTTGGGGGTTTTTTCCCTCCTTTGAGACATTTCTGGTCGTGCACAGGTTCAGGAAACAGAAGCTTTGTACAAGATGTGCATCAGCGACGCCAATTTTCGACGGCAAGAGCTGGAGAGGGCGCGAGCACGGATCGTCTCCCACATCCGGAAGCTCATTTACCAAGGGGACGAGGTGTTGACCTGGGTACGTGTAGTTTTTATAATTTCTCCTCTAATCCTCATTTCAGAGAAATTGTTGTGTGGGATAAAACCTCCAGGTTCTTCCCAATTTCATTGTTGACCCACCTTATAACTGCCCATCCTCAAGCAGTTGAAATTAGAATCGTAGAATCAGCTGGTTGGAAAAGATCTCTGAGGGGAGTGCTTGCTACCAAAAAAAACCCCAAAAATCTCATTATAAT